TCAGTGTAAATTCTGAAATTTATAGTGTGTGTAAATAAGTTTTGCTATGTTACTTGGAAAGAAGCATAAATGCCTGATGAAGATTTACGGACATTCTATGCTAACAATTTCATAACTTTTTTTAAAGCAAACATTCATATAACATTCAATTTAAATTTTACACTTAGTACAATAAAGTTAGGATGTATAAAAACTGACCAGATAACAGTTAGTTACCCACATTTAAATTAAAATTATACAGCTATCTCAAATTACGAATAACCAATATACATTTATTTTAACGTGTGTGGAGCAACTCATTTTGTTTCCCAAAGGGTCAGACAAAATTACCTTTACTTATATAAAGTTTAGGTCTGAAAATGACCATCTCTTGACCATTCGATGACGTAACCTGCACTGTCCCAATTCTGCCTTTTTTGCTGTAACCTGCCACTCAAACCCTTGCGTACACTTCAAACAAATGCACACTTCGTAGAGGAGTGTAGGATGCAGAGGTGCAGTGTGGGTGTTGGGACAGGGCCAAAGTCTTGACACTGTCTTGTACACATTTTCTCACGATTGGATCGTATATGGACGTCAAGGGTCCCTGCCAAAACAAATGTTGAGTTCCAATAATTATGCCAAAGGTATTGAAATCACAAAGGATGCCTAATTGTTTGCACATGTCTCATTTGGTTTTGCCTCATTTTTACTTTCTGTAGTTTATTTCACTTCTCAAATCTCAGTATTTGTCTTCTGTTTGATATATTTAACTCTCACTTCTTATCCAAACAACCAATGATTTATAAAGGAGAAATAAGGAGTGCCCAAACTTCTTCATACCTTTGTACATTGTACTTTTTGATGCGATCAGGCTTATAACTATGAGAGGCATTAGTAGTGGTTCAAAAACACGTTTTCTTCCGCGGTATTATGTGCGTCCTGCTTTTGTCCCTGCTGCAGCCTTTGCCTTTGTCCCTCTGAAGAAGACATCAGTGAGTGCACTTTGTGTCAGCCTCGGCGCTCTTTATTAAATTTACGGAGCCATTATTTGCCGTGCGGCTGATTGCGTACCAGGCTCAAGGCACTACACTGCTAAAAACACAACATCTGAGAGAGTTCAAATGGCTGGGATCACAAACATATTCCTGATTTGACATGACAACTACAGTTATTCTTACTAAAACAACCGTGTACTAACATTGCCGTCCTCAAAAAAAAAAAAAAAACAGACCTGGAGTTGTTTTTGGCTGCATCTGGGAAGACCCTGTCTCAAACGTGTCACTCTTTCTGTCTCCACCATAAACTGTAAATAGACTGCCATTGAGGTATTTGTCTGAGACTGGGGATTTCTGTCAAACTTCACTCTATTTGACGGGGATTACAGGACACCAAAAATAACTAGAAACAAACTTTTTTTTTGCTGATGAAAGTAGACAATCCAGTTTTTCAGAATTTTGATTTACAGGTTACTACTTCTCCTTTAAAGAAGAAAAAATTAAAAAGTAGTGATTACGCTGCCAAGTCATGTTTTGAAATAATTATTCAGTAATCGAATAAGATATATGGTGAAACATTGATTGAATAACTGCTAGCGCATGCAACTTCCCGCTACCATTTGAGGAAGGATAGAAGTGTGCCGTGGTGTTTTTTTTTTGACCCATTTCTGACTGCCATATAATTGGGTAAGGAACATCAAATCAACTGAAGATTGAATAGAAATAAATGGGAATACTTTTGTTTTAATAGGTCGAAAAACTATCTGAGTGGGATGTCAATAGAAGTACAAAGACATCATAAAAATTAAAGGCGAGACAGGTCGGAGCTACAGGTTTGCGCCAGGATTTCCCTGATATAAGCATGGGATCTAAAAAACTTCCAGTGTGTTTTGAGAGAGCAATGTTGTAACATGGTTTTAAAAACTAACTTCAAACTTTAAGGTCCAGAGGTGTGAATTTCTCATACAAAGCACAGTGGGACGCCACGTGTTCGACTATAGATAGGAGGAAATGAACAGGACCTGGGTGTACTGTGGAGATATTGGTTTTGGGTGTTGGGATTTATTTACCTGTAAGATCGGACAGGACGTTTTGGCCGTGGAGGACTGGGACCCTGCTTCGGTCTCTATGGACAAATGCTTCAGAACTTTGCACCTCTTCACCACTGAACCTCCGCAGACATAAAGAGAGAAAAGAATTATTGGCAAAAGTTTTGGGTGAAATTGGCAAAAACATAACAAAAGGTACAAATAAAAAGTGAGCTCATGTCACTATCCATAGTCCTGATGTGTTTAGAGTGGATTGGACCTCTACCATAGCGTTAGCCTTAAATATGGAAGTAGCCTATTTGAATTAGCTAGTTGGAGCCAATTTCCATTTATATGGCATGCTTCCGACGGCGTAGCTTGTGTTGCAAAGATGGCCTGCAAATGAAAAGTCCGCCCAGACAACTACTACGTTTGGATTACAAAGGCTGTACACAAATAGATAGAACTGGAATTGCTAAGAGCTACTCGACTTTTCCTGTGGAATGAAAGGCTTCCGATTTGGTCACTCCTCACATGTCACGTCTGGATCCGACACACGGCACATTATAAAAATGTAAACAAACCAGATGCACAGAGAGTGCTAAACTAGATTTTTTCATCTCCAAATAGAGGAGTCTGACAAAATGGTTACTGAGTCCAAGAGGAGACTGGAGAGTTGGAGCAAAACTTCATCCTGAGTACTTCCCCTATTAGAATGTCAAAGTGTGGAAAAGACAGAAGAGACATAGGAGCTCAGTAATATGAGAGGTTAGCGAGCGATATAATAAATAGAAGTAAGCTAGCGGTTTTCTTCACAGGAATTACCAAATGGTCTGTTTGAATACTGGCGCAACATTTCCTCTAAAAAAACCAAGCAAATAATCCACTAACAATTCCAAAACATACTTACTTGTCTTTGCATTTCTGTAGCAGCGTCGTCGCCAGAGTCTTCAGGTTGATCATTTTGTCCTCCTTGTAGAGCCGGCTGGGCGAATGAGACTAACGCATGTATAATTGGTGTGGTGCTTCATCACTATGTGCTAAAAACAGGAACAAACATACTGGGGAATTGGACGGGCCCCTGCTGCCGTTAGCTAATGTTCTGAGAGCACCAATTTTATCGAATTGTGAGATTAAAGAACCTTGCTTCGTCACACCAGTGGGGGACATTTTCTGCGGAATTTCAACTACTAACGACGCTAATGGATTTCTAGTTTTTGAATAATATTAAATTAATATAGCGATGCAGCGGCCGTATTTCTATTAAAGAGTAGTTTCCTAGGGTAGGCTGAATTTGGTGTTGGCTGAAGATTAACATGTAAACAGCCCCATACCTTAATCCAGATAATGGGGACTTTAATTAAGAGCCACACACAGAACGAGCAAGTAACTAATGAACCAGCCTGACTGCAGAACTGTGGATCCAAGACACAGTTTAATTGATTTTTCTCGATCAGGTTTCTGTGTCGCTGGGCATGTTTTAAGGCTTTCCTCTTGTGTGTGTGTGTGTTTTTGTTTTTTATTTTTGTATGTTTTTGCTTATTTTATTCCAGAAAATTTTTTGTTTGTTTTATTCGGTACTTGTCCTGGTGCACACGGGACTTTTGCACGGTATTCCAATGTGGTTTTACTGCTGAGGGCAAATAAACTGAATCTAAAATGACCATGAATGCATGTTAAAGCCAAAGCACGAATTTGTCTGGTCCGGTTTTGAAAGCCTGCAATATTAAAAAAAAGGCATTTTTTTCACTAGTAAACAATAACTCAAAATTATAATCGGTTTTACAACAATAAAAGTCACTTAATTTTTACCCCAAAAAAAAAGTCCACTCCAAAACGTGGTACGAGTGCAAATCATTGCTACTGCCTCACTTAGAACAAGAGTCCCTTAGTTTTTCAACAGTATAACAAAAGTCATGTATAAACACAAAACTAAAAAAACAAAAGAATAATTTGTTCTCTATACTCTTTAACACTACCAATACTCTTTATTACTACTCAACTTACTACTTCTACTATTTAGGGCTTTGACAGGAGTGGACCAAAAAAAATCACTATGATGAATGCAATGAATAAAAGAAAATAAATAAGTGATTATGCATATATGTCCTTCCTCACACTGCTTGTGAAGCAGCAAGCACTCCGAGTCCATGATCCGCTCACCACAAGAGACTCAGGAAAACACAACAAACGCAAATATACAAATGGGGGTGAAATGTAAATAACATTTAGAGTCTAACCATGAAAAACAAGGGTAAAACAGATGAAAACATTCTGGGTAATAAGCGCGGAAGAGCAAAGCCAAAAACCAAATATTCCTGACAACCTCTACTACTGAAAACGTTAATCTTCATTATAGGTCCATAAAAGCTTGATGCCAGTTGGGATTTTGTCCCCATCTTTTGAGGGTGTGCACGGCGTCTTCTTCTGGTGGCTAGCTTGAGGGCGTGGCTGAAGCAATGTAGTACGGTTCCACCGGCCCTACATGGCTCGGCTCACTCTACCCTGGGATGTGTTTACATTAACCCTTGAGATCGGGGTACGTATTCTGAAGCTACGCACACCAACCATATCCCAAAGATTTCCTTGGCAAACCGTGGCGTACAGCACACTTAGATCAAAATAAGTAGAGTAGGGTGGGGTAAGGTTGGGGTATGGAAGGGTACGTAAGGTTAAGGAGAGTAGAGTAGAGTAGGATGGGTATAGTAGAGTAAGTTAGGGTAGGGAAGGGTGACCCCTCCGCAGCTAACAAATCTGTTGTAAGCCTTGTTTGTGAGGTTGAGCTAGTAATGTGCGATTCCTTTACGAATATCTCTAGTTCCCTTGAACCAGTCACTACTGCCCACGATCAATGCTTACTCTCGAAGATATCGCTGGTAACCAAACCTGAAAATTAGGTTACCAGCCCCAGCGTTTGAAACACTGGTCTTGTGTGCCTGAAAATGGTCTCATCCACGATCGAGTGCTCGGCCTCCCAATCCGCACAACAGGCCAATCATGGCGACCACTCTCCACCACCATGGGCATGTAGATGGGACACTCTGTCGCCCGTCTTCACACCTCCGCCACAGACACACAAAAGGACAGGGTTAGGATTCCGTTCTGTTCTATTCATTCGTGTACAGCACCAAAATCTCAACAGCGAGTCGTCTTGAGGACTATAAGAAGTATGTACATTCCTCATCAACAGATTCTACATAATCAAACAGTTCAAACACAGGATAGGCAATAATAACATACACTTAGGAGGCATTTGTCCAATCCTAAGAGCGGTCTACGTCACCAATCAGCCAACTCATCCGCTGCTTCTGCTGCTCTTTAATATAATTGTTAGAAACTTTTACTTTCCAGAATGATGTATTTATTTGTTTGTCTGAATGGATGGGATGGGATTCTGTGGCTGGACACCTGAATTTTCACAACCCTCAGCAGTCCTCGTTCTACAGCCTATCCTGGATTCTACAGCCCATCCATCTGTGGGAGCGGATGCTCTCTCAACGTGACCCCACCAGAGGATTTTGCTTTTTCTCTCCCACTGGTTTAAGAGTTAGTCCATGCGAAGAAGGAGGTCGAGGCAGGGGTGTTCAAACTGGTCCAGAAACGGGCACTGGGGCTGTTTTCTCTGTCAGACCCAGCAGGACAGCGCAACTCTGCCCATTGCCTCAGGTGGTTCAAGCCTTAACCTGAAGATTTTGATGAAATGGGTGGAGTCTTCTCTGCTCCGCTGCTGGTCTGATTGGAAAACCGGCAGCCCAGTAGCCCGTTCTGGACCATTTTGGACAACTCTGGTCGAAGTCAGTGTAGATGATCCATTACTGAGTCAACAGTCAATGATATTAATGGATAGTGGTTAATTATCGCCCCTTATTAGCGCCAAAGTAGTCTTCAAAGGGTTTTTATCATTGCAATCTTGAGTTTGAAACTTTTGAGTCTCTGATCTGTGTTTGGGCGATTTGACAGTTAGGTAAAGTCCTGAATAACTACGGGGATTTAAGGCTGGATAACAAGAACATTTTAATGTGATTTCTCTTACGAGGATCTATATAGAATATATTTAACTATGACCAATGTCTAAAAATGCCCTTAATACTAATAAAAGGCCCGGATGGATCTCTGCACCCACCTGTTTTGGGCGTGGGGAACAACCAAAAAACCCAGTGTGGATAAAGTGAAAACCTCAGGGCGGACCACGATGCTTTTATCTTGTTTATTTCATGTCTTTCTACCCCGTTTGTTCCAGACGTCTGTGTCATGTGGTGAGAACTGTGTCTGGTGTTTAAGTTTTGTAACATTGTTCTAGCACACATTTGGAAATAAAACGTTGTCGGTATAATGGGGTTGTAGAAAAGACAACGCTTTTGCTTCTGTGAAACCTTTTACCTTGTGAACTTGAGGGACGCATGCGACGACAGAGCCTTCTGCACAGCTCTCTGTAGGTGACGATCAGCTCGTCACCGGGGTTCATTGCCTTCCCTGAGAAAAACAAACAGAGAGCGGTTGATTAAGTTGAAGGGGTGGTCGAAGGTAAGGAAAGCGTTAATAAAATCAAAGGGAATCGAGAGTGAGTCAAGAGGGGGTTCGGTTGAGACATGACTGAGCCAGTGATAAAAACATGGAGTGTTATAGTTTTACAACGTCTGCCTCTCACAGCGCTGGGCTGAGAGAGAGCCTCTGCCACGGTCCAGGACTGATGACAAGAAACTGGTGGATCAAGACAAAATACCAGGAGAAGACCTAAGAAGCAGAGAAACCAGAGAGACCGGAGACCAGAGAGGCCAAAGAGATCAGTGACAAATTAATACCAGAGAGCCTAAGATGAGCAAGAGAGACCAGAGAGGGCAGTGAGAACCAGAAGAGAGCCAGAGAGAGCTGAGAGAGACCTGCAGAGGGCAAGAGACTCAGAGAGGCATTTTGTGAATGCCTTTGGGGTCTGTATTTAGCTGGGATGAGCAACCTGAGATGTGCGAGTCACTGCACACAAAAATACATGCTTAAAAACAGCATGAGGTCCACACCATGGACTGGGAGGGTCAGAAAACCAATATCTGGTGTGACACCGTTTTCCTCACGCAGTGCAACACATCTCCTTCTCAGGGATGATGAGGTCCAACTGGAACACGATGCTGTATACAGCGATCCAGAGAATCCCAAAACTGTCGAAGAAAGAACCCAAAATTCAAGAATGTCAAAAAAATAATAATTGAATGACAAATAAAAGTCCAGGAGGGAAAAACTCTAAATTCCAAGCAGAACACAAGGAACCAGGAAAATGACATAATGGGTGACATGTCGGTGAAACTGAGGCCAAGACAGAGCCGGATGTTTTCAGGTGACGTCTTCACTTACTATATGCGTCGAGAGGCCAATTCTGGCGGTGGAGTTGGTAAGGTGTATGTTATGGCCATGAACACAAGCGCCTTATTATATAATTAAAGTAACAATATGCAAGATTTTCATGTCAGGTCATCATTAAAGGGCCCTAATCTGTCAAAAAGCATTAATAAAACATGCTCTTTTCCAATACTTCTTTAACTGATAACAGTAGTTCAGAGATATTTGGATTTCAAAATTACTTTTCCAGCCTCTAAATCTTGTTATTGTTTTCATTTTGATGTCCCGCCCTCCACCGTTTCACCAATCAGAAAGTCTGTGATCCGGGCGACGGCTTTGTTCCCCGAGATAACTACTGTTGTGATTTAGGGCTATACACAAATGAATTGAATTTAATTTAATGTATTAGTTTCACATTTTAAGTTGTATTACAGACATAAAAGAGCGTTCTAATTATTTGAGTTTCACACGTAGAACCATGGCCACAATCTTTGCAGTCATGGTCTTATGTTCCTGATGTTGTTTTTTCTCCCTCATGTCCCTGAACGCCTCGCAGTTTGTCAGGCGGGCGTCACATTTCTTTCTTTACCCCTGGAGCCTGAGCACAGCAGCTGTTTCTTTTCTCTGTGCAGAGAGTGAGACAAACTACATTACCCAGAATGCACCTGGGCTCGTCTCCTGTTCCCACCCGGAGCGCCTCATTCTTCTGTCGGAGCTTCGCATAGTGGCGTGCAGCAGATGGCTCCTACGGGGAGAACGCACCATCGGTTACATTTGAGGGAGCTCTATCCCGGATTATAAACTGGTCTAAAGTAAAGAAACGAAAGCCCAGGGAAAACTTCCAGATTCAAAAACAGCAGTTACATTAAAATGACAATAACAAATCCATACTTCTAGTAAAACTTAGCTGCTCAATGTTTAGTGAGCTCCTTTCGCGTGAGTTACTTATAAATGAGTTTCGGCCAATCCTCAGGTGAAATTGAATTATTTGCAATCACATGGTTTTAACTAGCCTGGTCTTATCCATCCGTAAACTCCGCTCAATCATCATTTCACTGCATGTAACGTCTGGGTCTGGTCCCCGTCATAGCGATTACAATCGGCTGAATTTCGACCAAATAAATCAGAGAGCGCGTTGTAGGTCGGTACCGGTGACTAGAGCCCTGCACTTGAGCCCTTGGCCCGAGGGCCCCGACAGCCCGAGGGCCGGGCTTCGGGCCGATGACCGCATAATGACCTCGGACATGGGCCGGGCTCGGGCTCTTCATTTTCAGAGCGGCAGAATACATTTACGAACGCACCCACTGAATATAGCGTTCTATCACGCTGTAGTGTTTGTTGTTCTGTGTAGTGTTGTCATTGACGGCACATAGCGTTACTTACAGCTGTGTTGCAGCATCTGTGTATCATACAGCTGTGTATCATACAGCTGTGTATCATACAGATGCGGCCGTTCACTCTGCACCACTCCGCACACACACAGAACTCATTGCAACACATCACTACCATGTATAACTCCGCCCTCTAGCTAAGTCTGCGTTCATATCAGTGCGCGGCACTATATACTACGCTAAAACATTGTTATGGGAGGTTACAAAAAAAAAAAAAAAGGCGGGCTTGATGCGGGTTTCGGGCCAGAAAATTGAGAAACCATATCGGGCCGGGCCGGGCTGGGGCGCCACCCCCTCGGGCCAGGGCCGGGCTCGGGCCCAGATAATAGGCCCGTGCAGGGCTCTACCGGTGACGTCAAGAGTTTGCGCCGAACAGGCAGGTTGTAGTTTGGCAGTGGCGAAGAATGCGATAGTAAAGTAACCTGGTCTGGTTCAATCAAGAAATTGAAGCCGGAGCAAGAGGAATGTTTAGTAATTGCTGCAAAGATTGTGGCGCTACTCCCCACGGGCTCCGTTAGCGGCAAAGGAGATGGCTATGCTAAATGCTAACAACAGACTCGGGCGCACTACATACGTCACGGTAAACTCAGATCCAATCGTTTTAATCTGCAAAAAGAGTTAAACCCTCCCACCTGTTCATGGAGCTCAATGGAGCATGTCCAGACCTTAGTATGAAATGTCATTTGTACTATGGTGTGGTACGACCAGGCTAGGTTGCAACAGGTCATTTTCAAATTTGGAGAAAAAATAAATAAAATCTACACCTGCCTTTTCTGGTGGTATGGGTTTAGGCCAGGCTGATTTCCCTTGTGTCTTTTACTGAAAATATGCATATTCTAAAAACTGAAATGACAACTAAGAAAATAGTCTGTATCATTTTAAAAGCCAATGAATTGTGTGATATTTCTACTATAAAGAACACGTAAATAGAACCATGTCATATAATCCAATTTAACTAGTTCCAGCTCTCCAAACAGTTTGGTCCTATCACTATCATATGCATACTGTATATGTTTGTCCTCTTAAGAGCTTTAGATCAGCTTTTTCAGACATGAATGTGTAAAAATAGGACCACCCTCACTGAGCCAATCAAATGAAAGTCTCAAAATAGTGGCTCTAGTACTTTTATTGTGAGGTCTGAGAACGACCCATGCAGCCACTATGTATTTGTTGTGATAAATAATACCAAAATGTTTAACTGGCTTTATTCAATATAAGTTAAAAGTTAAAATCAACCAACTTTAGAGTTTTTTATACAAGTGACATCCTCTAACTAAAATCTCCTGACATTTAGATGACCTTTTTAACTACTGCAGCATGTCATTCCTGTTCCATTTGAGTGCCAGCCGTCTCAGAGCGCGTCATATGTCCACTTTCCCCACAATGCCTTTAAGCAAAATGTACTTTTTCATCTTATTTTTTACCATTACATTTGCCTCAAAAACAGTGCACGCTGTTTTCCCCCAATGTGCCTCACTAAGAGCAGATGAATAGTTAATAAAGCAGTGAACAACAATAGTTACTTAAATACTCATGGAATATTCAAGCGGTGGCTCTGAAAACACGTGGGAGGAGCGTGTAATTAATTGTCCCGGGAACAAAAGAAAGAAGCAGAAATGAATAAGTGAACGCTTGTGTTTCAAATTCCCAATTTCACCGGATGTGAAGTGATTCTATAACCTGAGACTTTTATTTACCACTCTATAACTTTTTAATGAGAGCCCTCAACCATGATTCAATCATCGACAGTATCTACTGAGGGGGTCTGAGGACAGTGGGGATGATCCAGGACACTCCACATTCAACACAAGGTATGGATTCAACATTTATGGACCTTGGTCTCTGCTCCTTATGGACCAATGGCTCTATGTGTTTTTTTATCAGTGCATTTCTCGTGTTTGAACAGTTTGATCCTCCCAGTCCTCCCAGAAAACTACTGCTGTGATTGAGGGCTTTACCAAAACAAATTGAATTGAATTAATATGAATCTAATATGATTGAATCATATGATTCATATGAATTCCAGGCACAATCCATTCTGCACGAAGCAACATGATGCACATTCCTTCACTATGGTGCAGATCACCTTTAGTGGCTTCGTTCGTTTTTTACTGGTATGTTTATTTTTTGTACTTCTCATGTTTGCTCCAAACTTGTATTCAAATTGAGAGGAAACTTGTGGTTTGTGTGTGCCGCGGTGATTAGTCCAAGATGTTACAGTCTTACTGTAGTCCTTGATAACCTAAAGATTGTTTGTAGAAATAATCATCCTCATGCGTCCATTTGCAATGTGTGGATCTGAATACCCGTAAGAGTTCACTTTGCCATTGACTCAAACTATCAGAGCTTCAATCAGAAAATGTAAAAGCCTTTGAGACAAATCCAATGCATGTGGTGTTGGATTTATGTGTAGAAGTGGATTTTGTTGAGATGTTTGCAACATTTCACTTGCGTGAGTTAAGGGAGACTAGATTGTAAAGACGTATTCGAGAGGAAAGAAGACGGCATACGAAAGCATTGGATAATCCTCTCTCTGGGTCCATGGACCTTTTGGAGCCAGGACCCGCTCACACTGGTCCTGGTGTGGAGCTGCAGGTGGCCATTCTGACTTTGGTTGTACATTCTCCTACAGATTTGTGAGTGGATGCAGTGCGTAGTGCTCTGCTCAAATATGAGAGAGAGGAGAAGGGGCGCGAGTTTCAGCTGAAGCGTGAGATTGCGTTTAAGTACATTGAGTAGGTTTTGTCTTTGTCACAGCTGCAGTACTTCAGACATACCTGTACAACAGAGGAAATGCATCTAATAATCACATACCCAACCAAACAATCTGATCCGCCTTCTGAGGTTCCATATTGGTCTTGTATATGTATTGTAGGCTTGGTTTCAATATTTATGAAGACTTTTACATTTCATTTTCAGATGCTATCGTCACACTTGTAGAAACAGATAAAAAGTTCAAAGTGGAGTCACTATTTGCATGTATCCAGCACAGAGACCACGACCCTCTGAGGACTCTGCCTGACTCAATCCGTTGTGCAAATGAAGCAATTGAAGTGCACCAAAGCACTTTGCGTTAGAGAACACTTAGTTACAACTGGCACGCTGCTCATTTGCAAACATGTAAACAACATCATGATCGTCTTGTCCTCCACACGCTCTTTTCAGCCCAAAGAACAAAACAAGAAGCATTATTTGTGTCAGTTTATGTATAGATAGATTGTACTGTATGTATTATGGAGACATCCAGGGGCCCAGCAGCAGAAACGCACCCATCCATTCTAACACTGTTATAAAAAGTTACTTACAATCGCATTAAAGGGCACGTGTTTAACCCATTGTGAATGCTGATTTTAAACTACAGTTGAACCTGGACAAAATTGCACACAAACCAACATTAGTATAGAAATCCTTTATACTTCAGATTCAGATTCAGATTCAGATTCAGATTCATTTTATTGCCATTTGCAGTAACACTACATTGGAATACATTTGTAAAAGTTCCCAGTGTGCACCGGACAAGTACAGACACAAAACAACATTAAAAGACAAAAATAAAACAAATTTTAAAAACAGTAAACAAATGTCACCGTGAAGTTGACCAACTTAAAACAGATCTATACAAGTGCAAAAAACATTAAAGTGCCCTATTCAAACTGTAAACAGCTCGTGGAAAAAAACTATAAGCATAACGAGATGTCCTGCATCTCAGAGAACAGTATCTTCTGCCAGAGGGAAGAAGCTGGAACAAGGCTTTTCCTGGGTGGCCAGAAGAGTCATTGATAATTCTCAGGGCACTGTTAAAAAGTCTGGATTGATAAAGAGCCTCCAGGACAGGAAGTTCACAGCCTACAGTCCTCTTAGCAGAGCGGAGCACCTTGTTTAGAGCTCTCTTTTCTTTATCTGTGATGTTTCCAAACCACACAGACACAGAACCAACAAGTAAACTCTCAATGGTGCAGCGATAAAAGTTCAGCAGAATCTTAGAGTTAGTGGTAAATTCTCTAAGTTTCCGCAGGAAGTAGAGACGCTGACAAGCTTTCTTTACGACCCGGTCAGTGTTTTTAACCCATTTCAGGTCATTAGACAGAGTTAGACCCAGAAACTTACACTCCTCTACAATCTGCACTTGGGAGTTATCGATTGCGACAGGCAAATGAGAACTATTGCGACTGAAATCAAAGACCAGTTCACATGTTTTGGATGCGTTCAGCTGGAGGTTGTTAGCCTTACTCCACTGAACCACATTTTGGATCTCGGCTCTATAAGACGATTCATCGTTATTACTGATGAGACCGATGATGGTGGTGTCATCAGCATATTTGATGATGACACCACCATCAAATGATACTTGGTTGTCTTCCGAGGAGAAATACAGAAATAGTGAGCACAGCCTAGTCCAGAGCAAATCTCACACCAGAGAAAACACACCTTCAACATAAAGGGGGGAACCAACAGAACACAAAGGAACAATGAGACCAGACCTACCTCATTGACATTTATTTTTTTATTGTACATAATTATATCCTGCACAGACTATATTTTTAACTTTATCATGTACATTTTTCCACTGTGAGTGTATCTTATCTTAACATGTAAATAGTAAACCCCAACTTCAAACAAGGCCCATGCTTCCTCTTGGCAAAATGAATTAACATATAAACCCCACTCTAAGATTTTTGGAGTCAATACAATTCTAACTTAAAAACAACATTCTAATGACACCAATACAGATCTGTCGACGGACGGTGCAAAACATCTCTTAAATGTTCGGTTCTACAGGAAAGCGAGAGTTGCCTTTATCTACTCCTCTGAGCGGCCACAGTGTGATGCAGAGGTGCTCAGGATGCTCCTGATGTGAGCCCCACCCACCTCCACCCACCTCCACCCACCTCCACCCACCTCCACTTCTCCATCACCGAGTCACAATTACTGAAGAGCTACTTACTGTCTGTGAAGTGCATTTTTTGTTATATTGTCCTTTTTATGATGAATTTAGGTACGCGTTGTTTCATGAAACGTTCTCCCGGGATCCTGATTTGTTTTCCTGATTTTTTATTTGAAAATCAAGTTTTTAAAGTGTCTTCAGTAAAACCCTAAGCCTGGAATTTGAATTCCAGGCTTAACTTTAGATGAATAGTCTCATCTATTCAAATGACAGCATTTGTGGTTGATTTTTATCATGATTTAGTTTATGTGCCTGAAGTTGGCCTGTGTCTCTGTATTTGTGTAAATGGTGTCTTATGAGCCCATGTGGGCTGGGCATCCTTGTATGTAAGACACTATAATAAAAAATTATCTATCTACTGTCTCTCGAGGTCAACACACACAACCCCAAAGAACAGGGCACTAGCTACTACAATGGCCCCTTAACATGTTATTTATATGTCAGCATTTTAAGTTATGAAATTATTTATTTGAAAAAATATGGATGAGCAAAACATAATAGTTCATAACGTCGTCGATCAGCGGTAGATTCCAAAGACGTCATTTCGTTCCAGGGCACGAGCGTGCGAAGAAACCCCTGCTTCTTTATTATAATTGTGGAGCTTTTAATTCTCCAAACTCTACTCACTCTGCCAGCGCCTCCTCAAGAGAAGGAGCACAAATACACAAGGTGTGAGCGCTTCCATCGAGTGAATCTGACAAAACATTTCACCAAACTACTGTAGATATGAGCATCACAGGTCCATGTGTGCTTTTATAAGTCCATATTCTAATCCTTTATTATTACTTGACAGTATTCACATTCTGCAGTGAACCCAAGCAAATGTGACGTTCTGAATCGTGATAAATCAGAGCTGGAAACGAAGATCTTGGTTTGATAAAGTGTGAGCACTCCTGATTAAAAAAAAGATCTGGTGGATCAGTGAATGACCCCAATCTAGAAGTGGGGAAGGGAAATGACTTTCTGCTTTCATTATCTCACATTAGTGGTCACAAACACGTGGACCGAGGGCCGCAGGGTATCTTAACATCACTGACCTCACAATGTCAGAGCGGACCGCACTGAGAGTGTGGGGCTGATATGGCACATTATACATCATTTTAATTTATTGAGAAAACAACCATGTCATTTACATTACCATGAACATTGAAAACATTAACATTATACACATTATCATTATAAGGTTAACAACTTTAACTGAAATTCCGATACTGTGGGACAAATAAAGGATCTCTTAATCATAACTAACTGTCATTATCAGGGGACAGTATTTAGTCCATTAGTATTCTGTGTTTACAAGGGCAGTCAGTAATTGCAATAATCTTGTCCCATTGAAACCAAATCCCACATAATCTCCCATGATGCATCTGAGAAAAAGCCGTTAGCATTGTGAAAAAACAGATACACATAATATGGTCAGGCTTTAACGCTGTGGGATGTTTTTCTGCAACAGGGACTGGAAACATCCCAGGAGAACTTGACACTCACATTTATGTTGTGTACATTTTCACATTGTAATTTTAATCAAATGGTAACGACTCCTGGATAAACCTTTCACTTTGTCCTGATGAGGTATTCTGTTTGATGAATTATAAAAAAAATTATAAAATCGATGAAGGGTTGAAAACTTTCTGAGTGCATTCTATGTGAAAGATAGTCGAGCATGATTGACTGCGTTTGGGGAGTGACAGATGTAAAAGATGTAGCTACTCCGCTAACCTGCCGCGTTAGCATCTGTCTCCTGTTTACTTAAAGATGTCTTCTCTGCTCTTCTCCGCTGTAATCCACACCATGCAGCCGTGGTTTCTCCTCTCACTGTTTGTGGAGACGTCCTGAGCATCTGCCGTTGTTGACTCAGCTTCTCACAAAGCAAACACCCTAACACCATGCAGGGTTAGCATTACATTAGCTCAGATGCTAACAAGAGGCCCCAACAGCGGCCCACCAAGTACACACTGTTTAGAATCCGTGTTGGAACAAAACTCAAGCCTGACCGAGCATTTAGACGGAATGATTTGTATTAAAGCTGTGGTTACTTTCTGTCAAACCACAAAAAACTAGTTTCTTGCCCTCAATACAATTTGGTTCATCACTAGTTTTCACATTCATGTAGTTGTGGCCTCTGCCACAGGATCGCTCTCACTCTCCAGCTCTCAGCCCAAAGTGTGAAATATTCCATTACACTTATTTTTATACACAAAAGCACAAAATCCCCACAGCAGTTGGGAGGTGGTCAATTCACTATCAACAGATATGAGAATCTATGACAAAATGTCCATGCACGTGTTTAGACCCGAACAGTATGCACAATGCAAATTTTGTCTAAAATAGTGCTGTTGGGACGGACGAAATGTGGTACTTATTTTGTTAAAAGTTAGGTACCCCTGCTTTAAACCCACCCACGAAGCGAGCAGCGTCCCGACGTCAGAGGCGTGGCAAACAGGAGTGTACGGGAGAGGGCTGTCCTTAAATACTGCAAGCCAGAGCGCTGATAGGAGCGCTCACAAAACAGGTGTACCACTACACAGAGCTATTGTCTCATGGATAGATCCATGGCTGTGTCCAAAACGCTAGGCATCGGGCCGCGTAGGGTGGATATGTAGGCATCGAGGGAAGGCCGCGTAGGCACAGGCGAGGTAGGAGGCGAGACGTGATGTGGATTTGGACAGCAGCTGCCTTCTGCCTTCGTCACGTGACTACACAACTCAGAGCGGAAGGACACGGCGGCCATGATGGACGGTAAAAAGTTCTAAATACGCTTTAATTAGGACATAAAAGTTAATTCTAATATCATTTGAGGCGAGAAATATCCCCCTTTATTGTCATATCAGAAGTCTGTTTGGAGATAAATTCGAAAATTTTCGGACTTTACCTCCAGCCTGAAGCTCCGGTGCTATAAGCTAACAGCCCAGTTAGCTGCAGTGCTGAAGCCCAGAACAGGCTGTCTAAACACGGGTTCAGGTAATGAGAGCCCCCTGGATGTTTACAATCGTATTCTGAAAAAACAGAGGATGCTTTTGTTGTTACACTTTCTCTGTTATAACAACAGTATTGGCAGTAATCATTAGTTTTTACAAAGTTATATTTTATGTAAACAATGCACATATATGCAATAAATGATTATTAGATATGGATTATATATTTGCTATGGCCCTCGTTTGTGCATCACTTAAAAGTAATTTTATCAGACCTAAATGTATTAACGTGTGTTTGCTGATGAGAGAGAAACATCCATTTATCTATAATAATAACTGGAACATCCATTTATCTATAATAATAATAATAACTGGAACATCCATGGATCTATAATAATAACTGACACATCCATGGATCTATAATAATAACTGGAACATCCATGGATCTATAATAATAACTGGAACATCCATGGATCTATAATAATAACTGGAACATCCATGGATCTATAATAATAACTGACACATCCATGGATCTATAATAATAACTGACACATCCATGGATCTATAATAATAACTGACACATCCATGGATCTATAATAATAACTGACACATCCATGGATCTATAATAATAACTGACACATCCATGGAAACATTAACAGACATCTGTAAAATGGAGTTGAACACAGATGTTTGACACTGCTCTTATTCACTTTTATGTCTCTTGAAAAGCTAACAGACCGTTACTAATCACATTTGAGTTTAATATATTCAATTATAAGTATAAGCCCTATAGTTGTGTAAATAATACCTCACTTTGATGACTCTTTACATTTCACACAAACAACAAAATCATAATAAAACCAACAATTTTTGTTTTCTTTATTTCCAGGTTCTCTGTGAAGTGCTGTCGATGAGACCTGTGTCAGAGGCAGACGACCAGGACTCTGCTGCTGCTCCTGCTGCTGCTGTTGCTCCTGCTGTTGCTCCTGCTGCTGTTGCTCCTTCTGCTGCTGCTGCTCCTGCTGCTGCTCCTGCTGTTGCTCCTTCTGCTGCTGCTGCTCCTACTGCTGTTGCTCCTTCTGCTGCTGCTGCTCCTGCTGCTGCTCCTGCTGTTGCTCCTTCTGCTGCTGCTGCTCCTACTGCTGTTGCTCCTTCTGCTGCTGTTGCTCCTGCTGCTGCTGTTACTCCTCCTGTTGCTCCCTCTGCTGCTGCTGTTACTCCTCCTGTTGCTCCCTCTGCTGCTGCTGTTACTCCTCCTGTTGCTCCTTCTGCTGCTGCTGTTACTCCTCCTGTTGCTCCCTCTGCTGCTGCTGTTACTCCTCCTGTTGCTCCCTCTGCTGCTGCTGTTACTCCTCCTGTTGCTCCCTCTGCTGCAGCTGTTACTCCTCCTGTTGCTCCTTCTGCTGCTGCTCCTTCTGCTACATGTCTTCAGAGATGCAGAGCCCACTGTTCTAACTATTCATGACTGCTGATTAAAGGAAAATATTATATACAAGTTTGTTGTAGTTCATAATGTTTTCAGCAGTGAATCAGGAGGTGATGGAGGTGAAGCAGGTGATGGAGGTGATGGAGGTGAAGCAGGAGGTGATGGAGGTGAAGCAGGACGTGAAGCAGGAGAAATTATGACCTTAATTTCACCACAAGTCTCTGAAAAAGAAGAACACAAACATCATGCATTAAAACACAGCCCACATTTAGGATTCTTTTTACACTTCATATTCAATTAATACTATTTATTTGGGGCTTTGCAAAAAACTGGTTAAAAATAAAATACAGAATTCCTTACAGTATTTAATATTAGAGATACAAGCTTCACAGCAGGGGAAACAAAAGAATGATATGATAGAAATATACACAAATAATCAAGTTAGAAGCATGGCTAACCACTTTAAACCTGTGTTTGTGGAAGTGGGACTTTGTCCTCTGCAAATGTCTTATTCATGACAAACGAAACCTCTGTATAATGTGTGTTTACTATTTATTAGACTATTGTATGAAAAGGGCTTTATAATTATTCTTGGCCTATTCTATAATTTCATATGTCTAATATATACAGTTTTCCCAGTCTCAGTATGGGATTAAAAACGATATGCACAATCTATTTTATATGAATACAGAAAACATGTGTTAGCATACTATAGCTGCTGTGCTGCAGAGTGATTTTCCATGAAAACGTGACTTTCCTCAGTGTAGCTTTAATATTTAATCAGTGGATTTGTTTCTCCCTAAAAGATAAAACACAACATGATTTTTCTTGTTCAAAAACCGAATCTGAATGAACTAGCCTCGTAGCATTAGCTTTTCGGGACTGAGCTTATTTACAGCAGATAACAAGGTTAAATACACACATCTGTGGCAGATCTAATTTATGTCTGTGTTTTATCATAACAGTCGTGTTCATAACTCAACAGTAAAGTATAGCAGTACTTACTATAGACATAACTTCGCAGTAAAGTATAGAAGTGCTTACCATAATGTTAGCTCCAGCAGCTCCGAGCCGAGTCTGTTGTTTACATGTTAATGCCGAACGGAGTTCTGCGCATGCGCGGCCGTGACTTGGCAAAAAGAAGGCAACGAAGCATACATCAGATGCATCCTTCATATCTGCTCCAAAAGTGGCCGTTTCCATAGAGACGAAGTCATGATGCCTACGCTTGGCGAGCTCGCCAAGCGGTTTTGGACACCCCTGCAATAGCCGTCGCTTGAGGAAGTGACGTCACGATGCCTACATATCCACCCTACGCGGCCCGATGCCTAGCGTTTTGGACACAGCCCATGTATGGATCGCGCATTTGAACGTGGATGGCCTGACCATAGAATGATAGAACTGGGAAGCGCGGAAAGGACTAGACTTTCTTTTGGCTGTTTTGCTGTGTAAGCAGTAACAGGAAACAAAGACACGGGAAGTTTCAGGCTAGCCTCCGCCGCTTGTTTACCTCAGCTCTCTGTGCTAACAAGAGACCTGTGGATTTTCTCAAGAAAGTGGGGGCCAGTGGTCCGCTGTGATTGGTCACAATCGGGACCTGAAATTCTCTTCCTTGTTGCTCAAAAACTCGATCTAAAATCAAATGACACGCTAGCACAAATCTGCGCTACTTTTTCTTCAAAAGGACGTATATCAATGCACTGCATGGATATGGATTGCATTTTTGCAATGAATACAAAAATAAAGTCAGTTAGTGCAGCTTTAAAGGGGACGTATGTATAATGGTGTTCCCTTACTATTTACTAACTTAAAACATGTCAAATATGTATGAGCAGGCTTCTCAGTTCTGTTGTTGAACTTGTTTTAATTAAGATTGTTATAAATATTTATTATCGATGACAAAGAAAATAGTTTTTTCCAGCAGCAGTTTGGTTGGATAATCCTGGTGTTAACATCAAAAGTGTTTTATATTTTATCAATTTCTTGTCTAATAGATGTCTAATCTAATTAACGTTGTGTGAAGTATGTGTACTTTCTGGAGGATCCAAGTGAATCACTTGGATTTCCCCATCAAGAGATCAATAAAGTATTATCTATGCCTAAGGGCTCACCATGGATCTATATAATATCTGGATAAGGTTTTACTAGCTTATAGCCGAAGGACTCGTGTGCTCGGGGGATTCCAGCAGTACTGCAGACTAAATAAGACCACGTTCAAGCTGGACTTTGTGATTTCGAAGCAGCAGTTTCAAATGTGAGCGCTGACCTCACTCTTTCTGCTCCCCCCTCCCGCACTCACGAAGCTATCACCCCCCCACCCCCCCCCCCCACTACCCCCTCCCACACAGCCTGTGCTCATGTGCTGTTGCTTACGGAGTTCGCGTCTCACAATATGGATCACACATTTGAAGTACGGAGGGCGAGACTTTCTTTTGGATGATTTGCTGAGTAAGCAGTAACCAGTTAGCGTGACTCTCTCCAGATCCTTGTAGATCGCTGCGCTACTCACAAGAGTCTGGGTCTATTCCAGAATTATCTGAGCAGCAGTGGTTGTCCAATCATGTAATTTAATTTTAATCCACTCGATGTCGCCAGAATACTCCAACCTGCTGCAGGGGCGCGTTTGAGAGTTGAATGGGTTTATATCACTGGCGCAGACAGACGCACGTCACACACACCAACTGACGTTACACACCAACTGACATCACACACACCAACTGACGTTACACACCAACTGACATCACACACACCAACTGACATCACACACACCAACTGACGTTACACACCAACTGACGTCACACACCAACTGACATCACACACACCAACTGACGTCACACACCAACTGACTTCACACATACAAACTGACGTCACACACCAACTGACGTCACACACACCAACTGATGTCACACACCAACTGACGTCACACACACCAACTGAAGTCACACACACCAACTGACGTCACACACCAACTGACGTCACACATACAAACTGACATCACACACCAACTGACATTACACACACCAACTGACGTCACACACACCAACTGACGTCACACACACCAACTGATGTCACACACACCAACTGACGTCACACACCAACTGACATCACACACACCATCTAACATCACACACACCAACTGACGTCACACACCAACTGACTTCACACATACAAACTGACGTCACACACCAACTGACGTCACACACACCAACGGACGTCACACACCAACTGACGTCACACACACCAACTGACGTCACACACACCAACTGACGTCACACACCAACTGACGTCACACATACAAACTGACGTCACACACACCAACTGACGTCACACACCAACTGACTTCACACATACAAACTGACGTCACACACCAACTGACGTCACACACCAACTGACGTCACACATACAAACTGACGTCACACACCAACTGACGTCACACACACCAACTGACTTCACACATACAAACTGACGTCACACATACAAACTGACGTCACACACCAACTGACGTCACACACACCAACTGACTTCACACATACAAACTGACGTCACACACCAACTGACGTCACACATACAAACTGACGTCACACACCAACTGACATCACACACCAACTGACGTCACACACACCAACTGACTTCACACATACAAACTGACGTCACACATACAAACTGACGTCACACACCAACTGACGTCACACATACAAACTGACGTCACACACCAACTGACGTCACACACCAACTGACGTCACACATACAAACTGACGTCACACACACCAACTGACGTCACACACACCAACTGACGTCACACACACCAACTGACGTCACACACACCAACTGACGTCACACACACCAACTGACGTCACACACCAACTGACGTCACACATACAAACTGACGTCACACACACCAACTGACGTCACACATACAAACTGACGTCACACAGTATTACAGAGTCAATGGAGAGGCCAGGACCAAATTCAAATGTAGTACCATCGAAAATGTAGAGAGGGCGCCACACAGACGTTTTTAGGCTCAGAAATTAAGATTGTATCTGATTTGCCCTGCACAATCTTGTACCTGGTATAATGTCAACACATCTACTTGTATCTACACTTCTCTGTTGAAATCTTTGTACGGAATGAAGATCCGGTCACATATCAAATCCCAACGAGTTCAGTTACTTTGTGTACTAAAAAAGGGATAAAAACCATTTCTCCGCAGCCCAGCCCTGCTCACAGATTATCCTCATTAAAATCATTTCTTTAATCTGGATTTGGTAAACGCAGCCACAGCGGAGTCTCACCTGTGGAGACTGGGCCAGGTGACGTCTTTCCGGAGAGTATAAGCCTCAGCTGTCTCTCCGATAAAACTATTTTCTGCCACTTCAGCTGTTTACCGATCCGCTTAAATAAAACCAACGCTGCATGATCTCCCTCTGCGCTCCAATATGAAGATTTGAGAAAGGGACTGGATTTGAATTGCACATGTGCGACGCTACGATGGTTCAACTATTCCATTTACAAAGACCGCAGAAGGGTGATTTCAGAAGGTGGTTCAGGTGGAAAATACAATATTGTGGATACATAACGTCCATATTGCTTCTCTTAGATCAAAGAAATCACAAGTTTTACAATTCGGAGGTCGGCCTCGGGACAACTAGAGAAAACAAAATGTTAGTGTACAATAAGCTGTCATTAAAACATAATTGTAATAGTATTAAAACTGCTCAGGAAAATCTTTTCTTGTTATGCCATTGTATGTCTAGTGATCGCCCTTTATCTCACAGTGAACAACTGTCAAGTATAAGAAGTAAATACATAATAATAATAATAATAATAATGCACGATCTGAGTGATTCTTTCTGTGCCAAATGTGACATCTTCATTTCTCCATTGTGAGATCAATAAAGTTATCTTGTCTTAATAATGCATCAGTTTCATACAGCCCTTTTCTGGACACTCAAAGATGCTTCACATGTCTGTATTCTTTCTCTACATACACGGTGGTGATATACTATTACTGTGGCCACAGCTGCCCTGGGGCACACTGACAGAAGCAAGGCTCCGACCACCACCAACCATTCACACACACCAGACTCATAATAGGCAATGTGGGTGAAGTGTCTTGCCTAAGGACACAACAACAGTTTGGCACTCTACAGCCGCCCCATTGTGATCTCCCCAAAGGTCTCCCATCATAGTGCTAACCGGGCCCTGCCCTGCACAGCTTCAGAGGTCTGACGGGATTTGGCTTTCACATGCAAGTATGGCCACAAATACAGGATATGGTGCCTAAAATGACTACTTTTGGATCATCTTTTAACCCCATGACCTGGAGTTGTGTTTATCTCTACCCACGCTAATAAAGAGAGACAACAGAGCCTTTATTCATCCCAAACTGGGGACATTTTGGTGTCGGCAGAATAAGTAAAGAAGATAAAGTAGTGTTCCGTGGTCATTCTGAAATTTCGGTTCTTCACATGATTCTTAAAACTTTACACCCCAAGGCAGATAACACAACCCCTCATTTTTAGTGTCATCTCTAAATGTCCAGAACAATAACTTTTATGGCTGGATGTGTAAACTTTGAAACGCAACTATATCAGGAACTTCTGGCACAAAATGTTCCCACGGCCCATCTGTCTACACTGCAAAACAATCAAATATAGTAGATAAAGATAAAATATGAGGTAATAATTGCTTGAAGCGAATGGTTTTTCAACGAGACAGAGCCATTAACATTTATTCCAAAATTGTGGCTTTATTTTCTCATTCCAAAGGAGACACTTCTTGTATCTTTTTAAAACAAGGTCATTTAGTATGACCCATTGGCAAATCTTGTTTTAAAGAACTTCTCACCCCTGCTTCTCAAGGCTTACGTCGCTCACATTTCCTGTTCAAATCTTTCTCTAAATGGGCGTAGCCTGGAGGACTAAAGGGGTCAGGCGGGGGGTGAATGTTGGGCGGGTCTAGGCTGTGATTGACACTTGACAATAAAAGCAATAGTGACTAAAACTACAATATTCAACAACAACACTACTAACGCTTCACAATTATCTATAATACAAACAGCTATGCAAATAAAAATCTACCTAAATGCTATAACTAATCGCAAACCTGACAATCGATGAAAATACTCTCTGCTATTCCTTCCTTCCTTCGATACGGGGGCGTGAACGAGACTGGGCCGTTTTACGCTCACTGGGCGGCAGGGCAACTTCAGCCTTCACTGCAGACGTCAAATATCACTGCAGACGTCAAGTATCACTGCAGACGTCAAGTATCACTGCAGACGTCAGGTATCACTGTATCACTGCAGACGTCAAGTATCACTGCAGACGTCAAGTATCACTGCAGACGTCAGGTATCACTGTATCACTGCAGACGTCAGGTATCACTGCAGACGTCAGGGATCACTGCAGACGTCAGGTATCACTGTATCACTGCAGACGTCAGGTATCACTGCAGACGTCAGGTATCACTGCAGACGTCAGGTATCACTGTATCACTGTATCACTGCAGACGTCAGGTATCACTGCAGACGTCAAGTATCACTGCAGACGTCAGGTATCACGGCAGACGTCAGGTATCACTGTATCACTGTATCACTGCAGACGTCAAGTATCACTGCAGACGTCAGGTATCACTGTATCACTGTATCACTGCAGACGTCAGGTATCACTGCAGACGTCAAGTATCACTGCAGACGTCAGGTATCACTGTATCACTGTATCACTGCAGACGTCAGGTATCACTGTATCACTGCAGACGTCAGGTATCACTGCAGACGTCAAGTATCACTGCAGACGTCAGGTATCACTGCAGACGTCAAGTATCACTGCAGACGTCAGGTATCACTGTATCACTGTATCACTGCAGACGTCAGGTATCACTGTATCACTGCAGACGTCAGGTATCACTGTATCACTGCAGACGTCAGGTATCACTGCAGACGTCAAGTATCACTGCAGACGTCAGGGATCACTGCAGACGTCAAGTATCACTGCAGACGTCAGGGATCACTGCAGACGTCAGGGATCACTGCAGACGTCAGGGATCACTGCAGACGTCAGGGATCACTGCAGACGTCAGGGATCACTGCAGACGTCAGGGATCACTGCAGACGTCAGGGATCACTGCAGACGTCAGGGATCACTGCAGACGTCAGGTATCACTGTATCACTGTATCACTGCAGACGTCAGGTATCACTGCAGACGTCAGGTATCACTGCAGACGTCAGGTATCACTGCTGCGCCGATGTTGGCGCCAGATTCAAAATTGAAATTTAGTAAATACAGGTTGCCTGCAGATGGCGCCTCACTGACGGTTTTAGGCAGAAAGTTGATCTTTGAACTAATTCGCACTAAAGTGACAAAGATATGACCAGGATATGTACACAACACTATTGGACACTCATTTATACCGTTTATCAGCAAAAAATATAGTGGATTTCAGGGTGAGTTGCCATTTACGACAATCAGAATGTGTTAAAATCAAGATATAAATTTTTTCCAATTTGGCCAGTTTATGCCTTTCTTTTCATCAGTTTTTGCAGTGTATTTACTCTATTTTTCCAACCGTTATTTTACTGAGACTAATCGTCGCACTATGATGTCATTGATAGACCTGTTGTACTTTTCAAGACCATGTTTCACAAAAACACTGCGTCATAACAGATGTTTAAAAGTGTACTTAGGCAAATACATTACTTGTCCAAACTCTTCTTGCTCTGCAGTATTGCCAAACTAATATTTTTTGACCCTTCTCGCTCGGCTGAAGGCCCATAACTCACGCGGCCGTCAGTGCGCACACCAGCGCCGCCCTAATGGATTGCCCCGTTTATGCAATCAGCAGTATTTTTTAATTATAGTTATTTATCGGGCGTGTGCGTGTGATTGACGAGCGCTGAGCTGGTCACTGTATGGACGGACTAAAGCGCTGACGGAGGAGTTCCACGCAGCGCTTTTCGTCGCAGCCGCAGCCAAATGTGCTCCACAAATAAGACTTTTATATAGGAAATGTCACATGTTATTTATGAGCCGCTCAATCAGCCGTTACTGTAAGTATATTTGTTTTTGTGGGTTTTGGAAGCAGAGACAGAACTCAAAGGATGCATTATTTGTGTTCCTTTTGTGTCTCAAATTGGATGTTTAGAATATTGTCTTTGCCATGTCATGTTTTACAATATTAGGTGATGTCTTAGGAAAAAATATAGATTAGAAGTAATTACCTGTGAAGTAAGATGAGTATGCCGGAGCTGGAGTCTTGACTAGAACCAGGAAGTATGATCACATTAGTCTAGTCCTCAGGTCTCTGCTTCCCGTGGCTCAGCGAATAGACTTTAAAGCAGCTTTCAAGTCTCTCCAAGGCTTTACATCAAAGTACATCTGTGACATGTTAATGCCATATGAACCAACACAGACTGGACTGGCCTCCTGCTCCTGCTGGGACTCTGTGGAGCACAGGGACTGGCCTCCTGCTGGTACTCTGAGGAGCACAGGGACTGGCCTCCTGCTGGGACTCTGAGGAGCACAGGGACTGGCCTCCTGCTGGGACTCTGAGGAGCATAGGGACTGGCCTCCTGTCAGTCGGAACTAGACATAGGGCTTTAGTCTTATTTCAAGCATGGATATAGTAAATATATTACTTGTTCCATTGCAAAATTTTGTAAGATAAGACTAGATAGACTTTATTGATCTCACACAGAGGAAATGTACATGTCAAGAAACATGTACATGAAAGGATTTATGTGTGCAAACATGTTAAGGGTTAAGAATATAGTCTGGATATGTATGTACAATAAAAAAGTGGCAATTAAAGAAACAGTGGAAATAGTAGTGCAGGTTTTTAGTCCTATAGTGCAAGTGACTAAAAGTGACTTATTGTACAGTCTGACAGCGGTGGGGCCTGCGGTAGCGCTCTATCTCTATCTCCCTCACCTCCTCCACAGAGTCCAGGGGCCTCCTGTCCCTCACCTCCTCCACAGAGTCCAGGGGCCTCCTGTCCCTCACCTCCTCCACAGAGTCCTGGGGCCTCCTGTCCCTCACCTCCTCCACAGAGTCCAGGGGCCTCCTGTCCCTCACCTCCTCCTGACCTGCTTGTTCAGTCTGCTCCTGTCCCGCTCTGTGCTGCCCGGGGCCCAGCACACGGCAGCGTAGTATATGGCTGAGGCTACCACAGAGTCATAAAAAGTCCTGAGCAGAGCCTCACTCAGAAGGACCGCAGTCTCCTCAGAAGGTGGAGGGGACTTTGGCCCTTCTTGTTTTAAGACCATCACAATGTTCTCGAATCGATGTTGGCAAATTTGGACAAACAATCTCTCATTATTTATGAGTGCAAAAATGATTTTTTTTTAAAAGCAGGCCTTCCCTGTCCACTAATGTTTTGGGCTTTTATGATTTTTATGAACAGCTGATCATTAGTAAAGGGAGGAAAATCAACTCTGTTTTGTATTGTGATATTTTGTATACATAATTAAATCCATACAGCAGAACAAAGTATTGCAATAGTTCATTAAATAGTTTACCGTTTCAATTGAGTTTATTCTCTGCAAATACTCTGGTGATTTACATTTGCGTATTACATCCAAAAGGTGGCGCTTGTTGCGGTGCTTTTCATTCTAGTTCAAAGGATAATATTTTTGCACTAACCACCAGTCTTTGCTCAAAATGTGACATTTCAGTTGAGTCTTTTTTTACTCAATTTGTGTGATGCCTTTCAGTCATGCAATACATTAAGAATTGCAATAATATTGAATCGTGGCCCTAATATTGCAATGATATCGAATCCTCAGATTTTTTGCCAATTCCCACCCCTATTGATTATTAAATTTACCTGGATTTTTAATTATTTTCATGTTTTTGTTTTAGATCAATATATACATTTCAAATAACTGAACAATCCACTGCTTCATTCATAGATTTAAACTTTATACAATGTAAAAGCACGTCTCTCTTCATTGCTCTTTGAGTCCGAGCCAGAACACTGCAGCCTCCTGAGCCTCAGTGACATGTTTACTTCAAGCCAACAGCGAAAAGAGACGTGTTTATGAAAAATAAATACATCAATAAAGATGACAAACAGAATAAATGCACAAGTCATGTCCACATAAAACATGCAGAGATCCACTGTCACGACAGACCTCAGGGAGTCAGCCACAAAGAGGAAGAGAGCGAGACCTCATCACACACAAGCTCCAGCCTGCACTTGTCCCTCCACTGCAGGGCGGGAAGGCACCCCTGAGTGCAGCCCTGGTATTGCAGCTCCAGCTCTACAGGCTTCATCTGCCCAAATGTTGAATTTCCAAGTTGGATGAAGTTGTCAAGATGGCTACATCAGGAATTGGATGTAGCCATGATAGGAAATGAGAAGGATAGTGTTTAGTGCACACAATGAGAAGAGGCGTGCAATCACGATCAGAAAGAGAAAAGCTACGAAAGGAGTGAAGGAGGAAGGAGTTCAATGTGGTGTGCAGATTTGCGGCACGGTGGCTGAGTGGATAGCACTCTCGCCTCTCAGCAAGAAGGTCCTGGGTCTGAGTGGAGTTTGCATGTTCTCCCCGTGTCTGCGTAGGTTTCCTCCGGGTACTCCGGTTTCCCCTACCACTAAAAATATGTACAATAGGTCTGGCATGCGCCTCCTGTTCGGTGACCCCGCTCCCATCTCTATGCGGAGTGAGAGGACAAGTGCCCAAAAAATAACAATTGTAAACCGCTTTGTGACTCTGGTCTGTGAAAGGCGGTATATAAATAAAGCTTACTTACTTACTTACAGATGGGATGGAAGGAAGAACCAGTGCAATTTTGTATAATCCATAGCCATAGACATACAGTATGCACTCGAACACGTAGGCCTTACTTTAATTGCTCACTCTCTTTCTTATGTAGAATGTATATAATGCAAGAGTCGAGGTGCAGAATTGAAACACAGGGGGCGATAGCTTACATGGCATAGACTGTAAATATCAACAGATAGACACGCCCATCTCCGGCGGTGTACAAAAATATGTCATCACTTCTATGAAGCTTTTTCAAAATGGCCGCGGGCAGCCCCCTCCCGCAGGAAAATGTGAAAAAACACATTTGCGCATGCGTTAGCCAGCACTAGCCTCATTCATTTAACGAGTGCATTCTGAAGTGCACAACGGCTAAACTCGAGTGGTTCAAAAAAAATGTACTCCCCTCAGTGTTGACAACAACTGGAACATAGCTTTGGACCAAGAGCGACTTTTGGACCATCCTGTCGAGAGGAAAGAAGATGCCATACAAAAGCATTGGACGATTCTCTTTCTGGGTCCACCCCCACCGGCAAGGAGTGAGATTGCAAGTATGTCAGCGCACATGCTCACGGACGTTTTTGAGCGGGGACCCACCTCCACTGCTTTCAAAACCAGCATGTGAATAACACCTAGAACAATCAATACTTTATTATCTCACAGATGGAGAAATTCAGTTTGATGAATAAACATCAAGGCCGGCTGCGGACAACATATCCGCGCTCCTTATGACAGTTATTCAACAGCAGAGAGCAAAACAAACATTTATTTCAACAGACATTATTGGATGGAAATGGTACATACGGGAAGCATGCAGATCTTTTTAAAGGGACATTGTCCCTCTGACCCGCCTCGTCCAATATGGCGTGTCAGAGGGGGAGTGTGGGTGGGGGAGGTGGAAGGGAAGACCACCATAGACAGAAAGAGAGAGAGAGAGACAGATATGTATGGGGGAGGGGTGAGCCAAACAACTGGTATACTGATGAGTCTGTAAGTTATGAGAGAGTCCATCTTCGGCCTTGAAAGGCCGGCTGTGCGGTGGAATGTGGAGGACAAAGATAAGAGCAGGTGCCTACGGACGCGGGAGACAAAACAACACATATGCCTTGTGGAAATTTGTAAAACACTTTAGCTGGTCAAATCAAAGGCAGTGTAGACTATAACGCCAAATAAGTCCAAATTAACTGGAACTGGATCCCTCTGTTCACCGTTATCCAGAGTTGACCACGTCAGTGCGAGTGTTCGCCATGAGGCCCAAGTCCTTCAATCAATCCTTCTAAGCATGGTATTTCACTCTACATGGGGCCCCGGGATAGACCAGGTGAAGGACTCAGACATGGTTCTTCAGACCAGGTAAGGATTTCATGTATTGTTCCAATCACCCACCCCATTTGGACGGAAACAAGACGCTGAACACACTGTTGCATCAAAGCCTCCAACCAACACCATCCATTCACTCACTCGCTACATTCACACCTATTGTGCATGTTTTTAGTTTTGTTTTGGGAAATCAGAGCACCCAGAGGATACCTACGCAAACACAGGGAAAACATGTAAAATCTTCTCAGAAAAGCCTTGTTCTGAACCTGCGACCTTCTTGCTGAGAAGCGAAAGTGCTAACCACTCAGCCACCGTGTCACCAATACTTTGAAATACCACAATATTTCCTACTATTTGACTTGAGTCTTTGTTTTGTACATGTGGCGGCAATGAAGCAAAAAATCACAATTTAATCTACATACACAGGCACTGGTGTGTGTGTATTTATGTATACAGTACATCATTCAGAATATTATTATCTCCATATAGTGGCATTGAGCCAATAGAATAGAACAAAATCTTTGTACACATGCGGTATTACTGTTGTGAAACTGTGAGAATACAGTGAGACTATTCCCAGTATAATAGAATACCTGATGCATGTGTTAAATGTACAGAAGGCCAAGGCCATCATAGCGTACATTATGTGAGTAGGAAAGGAGTTCTGATTATTTCAGTCAGCAGTCCTCGCAGTAGATGCACGGATGATGACAAAACTGTTTTTAAAATGTATTTGTTAAAGGATCCTGTCACATTAAAGTTGGTGGGATACTTTTCTGATTGTACATTGTTGAATATCAGAATCAGAAATATCTTATTTCCATTTGTGTAACAACAAACTAGGAAATGGCTTTGGCTTTTGGTGCAAACAAGTTGAAGTTAAAGTAGAATAAAATAAGGCATATGTGAATAAAAAAATCTACTTACAGTTCTTTAAATTACAATATACAAGTGTACTTTATCAAGCTATCAAGGCATATTTGGACAGTTTTGATCTTGCTTTGTGCACGATGCATTTTCCTCACTGTGGGACCCATAAGGGAATTTTCGTTTCCAGTTCACGATGAAAACGACTCTATCCAAACAAGAAAATGGAGATCTCTAAATGTACACGTTTCACTATCAGCAGATCACTGTTCCTGTTATTATTTTCCTATAGAGCCCGAGCGCGGCCGTCCGATGACAGCGCCACACCACACGTACACTCTTGTTTGGATGTTATCTCCATAAAAGCCTCTCCTCTCTCCGAAGCCCATTAGCAGCTGAAAGATAGCGATCAGTTTTAGCTCTCCGTGTAATGGTCTCAGGAAGCATTAGCGCATTAGCCGTGTTAGCCGATGGCCATTATCTCGCACCAGAGTTCATTTGTTTATGAGCGTCCCGAGGGTAGTGGGTACACGTGTATCTACAGCTTACATCTGTGACACCGCCCCGTTAGAGACTCGAGCCCACCCTTCAGGCCTATCACATTAGGTCTGAAGACGTGGGCTTGTCAGTTGAAAAGTACTATGACTGGTTTGACAACAACTCTCATTAAAACAATATACACAGGCCAGTGGGGGCAGGTCCCGGCTTAAAAGGGTCTACGACATTATTGCAATCTCACTCCTTGCTGGTGGGGGTGTACCTGGAATCAGAATTATCCAGTGCATTCTAGCGACAACTTCTTTCCTCTGGATGGTCCAAAAGTTGTCTCTTAGGTCAACGCTACGTTCTAAATGCTGTCAATGCTGAGGGGAGATTTTGTTTGGGCCCACCATGAGACCTACTCCACGACTCCCAATGACGTCAGCGATACCACCCCCCCGACCCAGAAATGGATTAAAGGGAAGAACATGGATGGATGGATGGACTTTTGAATGCACTTGTTAAATGAATGGGGCAGACACAAATGCCAATGTCTGCCCATGTCTGTGGCACATACATTTCATTGGAGGAAATAGGCGTCACTATGTACGTAAATATTTACAGTCTATGACACATTAAAAAACATATTTATGAATTGGCAAAAAGTTGACATGGTTGATTCCAGTTTGACACTACATTAGTCCTTCACGATAACGCATTTCAGCTTTTGCAGCTTCGCTATTTTTTGTGTGATTTTATGTCATCGTGATATGATATTTAACCAAACCATATTGGTGGACTTATAGAACTTATATTATATCTAGATCTTTTAATGCTAAGGTCAAATAACAGAGATTACACAGACATAGAATACAATATACTGTAATAATTTGGCCGCTGATACGTTTGTGAAGACGTGATCACACAAACACACACACTTTAGTTCTATAAGAACTGATAGCAAGAACAGATGGGGCTCTTTATTTATTTTTTTAACTTTTAATTATTACTTATATATATACTTATAGTAATATACTGTACATGGACTAGCTGTTTTCTTGATAAAACTATCTTTAAAATAATGTATAACATGTCATGATAGCCCAGAGTCTTTGCTGGGGCCGACTTTAAACTTTTATGTCCACAGAATATCTAATTGTTTGAGACACTGTTCTAAAGCAAAACATGTCAAAGAAAAAAACTCTTGGTCCTCATTGAACATTATTGTTTCCTACATGATGATCTCCGTGTCTGATAATCACTGCTTTCTTGTTCTGTTGTGGGGCTGTTGTGGGGCTGTTGTGGAGTGCTCTCCTCAGCACAATCGCTCCGCCGTTAACCCCTCCACGCGCTAATGCCGAGCTAATTATTCCCTCGTCGCATGCTCACAAACTGACACTAATTTGGACTCGATTACACTTTTTGCGGAGACAGCGGGATGTCATGGAAAAACATCAAAAAGCTAACAACGTGTCATCCAACGAGATGAAGACGGAGCGCAGGGTGTCAGGGCAACGGTTTGTGACCGGTTTCAGCTGGACTTAAAGGAGACGTGTCATGAAAACTGCCTCACCACATTGTTCCTTATTTCACTTGGTCAAACCTATGGGATAAGAAGTCGTGCACTGTCAACATTTCAGAATCATTTTTACTGTGGAATTCTGTATTGTGTGTGCTCAGTGTTGGGAGTAATGCCTTACAAAAGTAATGTAACTACAAAAGTAATGTCACTACTACTACTTTTTTTCTGAAACATGGAAGTGCGAGGCATTCACAAAAAAAACCTGGGCAGTATTTTCCT